TGTCTCTCCTTCTCCCAAATCCGCTCTAAAGGAATCTAGTTTATTGTCCAAATATTGCCTGAACAATGAAAAGGCCTCAAAAGCCTCCACGCCTCCCGTGTTCTGACCCACTGTAGGGGGAGAAGGGGCCCCAGTACTACAACTGTTCAGAGGGGGGGTCGTTTCTTCGCTCATAATCGGTAAAGACCAAATTAGCAAGCTAACCAGGAAACGTAGGTAAATACCACAAGTGCACTGTCTGGCTGCAACAGCTCGAATGACAACACTACCCCCTATACACCCTGTATATGACAACCCCCTACCCCAGGTAATTCACGTGCAACACGTAATTCACCGTGTACGTTAGACTCCACGCCTTACCCCTACATACACAGGTACTCTAGCACCTACGTAACCCCAGTGATACCGTACCATTGATAAATATAAATATACAGTTATATCTCAAATAAGGTGAACGTGTTGCAGTGATGTTGCATGAAAGCTTCAGATATTGATTGATCTTTGTTAATTTCTGATTCTTTTTATTGCATATATAAGCTATGATCTTATATTTATGACTTGGAATATATTTCTGTGCTATGACTAATTCCCGTCAAAACTCGCCGCATCAACAGTATACACGTGGCATTCTATTTATAGACATGTTCATTATTTATGTTTTTTCAACGGAAACCATGTGCAATATATATCCCATAATACCTGTTAAATTCATACCGATACTATATATACGTAAATAGTTAAATTAGTGAACAGTCTGGGACCGTAAGACGTTCACTCAATATATAATTCAAGTATGACATTTTAAGTTATTTCCGTATCTTTTCTTCAGTTGGCAATTTGTATAACTGAAAACCAAGATGGCGAAGGTAGGTGTTTCACACATTGATTACCGATCGGTTCACTGTAATTATCCGTTGACATTTTGCTTTTCAACCTTGTGTTGATACTTTATACGTATGGTACCCTTCGTAAAGTAACTTGATGTTGGATGTAGGATTTAGAAAATTTTAAAATTCATTTTGAAATTAAAAGTATGGCTGTAGCTTTGCTTCTGTGCCTGACACTGACAAGAGAAAATTTCTATGAACCCGTGGTAGGCCTATACTGTAGCTAATATGTTTTACGGCACGGCCGTTAGTGAGGGCGGAGCCAGGTTGTACTGTAAATGTATCGGAATATCGGTACTGTACTCTTTCAAGCATTGAGTGATGTGTTAAATAACTAAATCAGACCTACATGTATAGCTATACAGTGTATATTACAGATAAGTTTCCTTTCTTGATTTCTTTTTGGCTGACAAGATGTTTGATATCTTGAAGTTTTCCGCCTAGGCGTATGATGACATGACATTAATGTGAGAATGCGAAAGGTTCATTAGACTATATAAGTATTTAAATTTGCACCTCATGAATCCATTGCAAGAATCAAGTGCAGCATATTCTACAAAGACATTGTTATAAAACATATTACGATAGATATTGTTAATCATGTATAATAGTGTGGCAGGGTTCAATTGTACATAGGATTAAGGTCGCCTTCTAGCTTCGAGCTAGAGGGAATTTTCCCTTTAGCTCAGTGGTAGAGCGTCCGACTTAGGAACCTGCAGATCGAGGGTTCGATCCCTGGTGGAAGCACACTATTCTCTTTCCTGTTACAAATGGTGTCCGTGGCCCTCCCTGTGGTGACAGGGAGTTAGAACCTGGGTTGTGGTGTTCGAGGGCGAACACATTTAAAAAGGGGGGGGGAGTAGTGTGGCAGGGTTCAATTCATAGGATTAAGGTCGCCTTCTAGCTTCGAGCTAGAGGAAATTTCCCTTTAGCTCAGTGGTAGAGCGTCCGACTAGGAACCTGGAGATCGAGGGTTCGATCCCCGGTGGAAGCACACTATTCTCTTTCCTGTTACAAATGGTGTCCGTGGCCCTCCCTGTGGTGACAGGGAGTTAGAACCTGGGTTGTGGTGTTCGAGGGCGAACACATTTAAAAAGGGGGGAG